TCAAAAAGTAAGTTGCTTTCGTCTTATTCAAAAATCATTAAGCACCTTTTGTTTCAAATTCTACCTTTGAGGTTTCTAAAGTATTACAATTTACAAGTAACCACTCGAAAAATCACTATCTCTATGTGTATTTGGGATTTGAATGGTTTGTGATGGATTGCTTTTGACATAACAATGGTTCCGGTTCTCTTTCAACACTCTCTGAAAGAAATAGATGACCAGAGGGCAACAAGTCTGGACCATATTTTCTGTCGAAGCTATGACATAGTTAGTCCTTCAATTGATGCTGAAGTGGCTGTTGCTCTACTAGTTCTGGAAGTATGTCGTCTTCTTCACCAAGAGAGCACAATCCTGGCTCATCGACACAAGCAATTCAGGTACATGGATATAGTCCTTGTTTTGTAAACTTGCCTGTCTAATGATCTTTATTGAAACAGAATTGGTTTTTCAGAACCTATGATCAATCTCCTGTAAAAATTTTGGCAATATAAGCTCCAAAATACTGGGATGATTGTGGAAAAAATTTCACACCCGGACCATCGAAAAAAGTCAACCTTTATATTTACACGAATCAGAGTCTTTAATCTTCGGATTATTTATTTTTTATAGTATTCGCAGACATCGAGTTCATGATCCTTTTTTTTTTGCGACTAATACAAAAATTCAACATTCTGGTTTCTAATTGTAATGCCAAATTTAACATCGTGTGACATCAAAAAGGTATTGATAAATACTTTTTCAACCCGGGGAGTACTTGAGCAAGGCGCATGCCTAGATGCTTTATCTCAATTACGCTGGAATCATCTGCCAATCAAATGGTAAGTTCAGTTGTGCAGCTGCTAGTTGTTAAGGAAGTCGGGTTGTCCTTTTTTTATATGAAAAAATATGCGGGTAGTAGATGTTAAGGGTTTGGTCTCCTTGTGTTTCAGTTTTGTGTTTTGTGTTTTGAATTCATTTTGAGTTTTGTGTTTTGAGGGTCTATTTTAAAATTGTTGAAAAAGTGTTCTTTTTTGCATTTTGAAAAATTATTTTGAAAATACCCAAAACGTGTTTTGAAAATTTTGAGTTGATTATAACTGAAAACACTCAATACGACAAGTTTGTCGTTTTTGGTTTTCTTTGTAAATTTTTAATTTATTTTCAAAAACTCGTTTTCGAAAATGAGAAGAGAACACATTTTCACTATTTTAGAAAATCGAAAACAGAAAAGGGCTTGAAAATGGCAAAGAGAACAGCCCTAAGTTGCAGCCTTTAATAAACCTGCTCAGCAAAAAGCTAGTGTAGGTTTTTTGGATATGCACTGCTTATTATTGTAAAAAAAATCTCTATATTGTTAGAACATGAATTGCAGTTATTTGTCTATGCTTCGTCACATTCTTTCTGAAGAATTCTGATTAAGCTTCTCGTCATATTTGATGTTCATTTATTAATGATGTTTCAGGATTTTGAGGCATGCAATGGTATTGAGAAAGTGCTCCTCTTATAAGAGACAAACACAGAGAGGAAAGTTTGAGTTATCTCTGGTTTGCAACTTCTATTATCACTGGAAGGTCTACTCTTTATCTTTCCTCTTACAAAAGTTGAAGTAAAGATCAATTTTTATTTTCTCACTGGTAAAAACTAGATAGTAATTGTCCAAATCTGAGCTTGGTTCGATTTCTGTGTTTTCTAAGAGGATACACTGCTTGTTCCATATATTCTTCAAAATTTGCCAACTGGCTAATAGTATGGTCATAGGAAAATGGGTGATTTGTATGTAGATTATATATTAACATAACAAATTAAAATAGCATAAATATTATAATTCAACAATAACATAATCATAAGATATAAGTAAAGAGTTAGGAAAGCAAGCCTTAGAGAGTCACGTTAAAAACGCAGTCGTAAAGTCGTGTTGTCTCCCCTTCTTGCTGGTTCCTTTGACACTACACGACTACAAAATAAAACCCATATGACCCATAACTGGTTATCCTTCTATGGGTACGATCACAAGAAGATAAAGAACGAGTCTTTATCAAGTTGTCAAAATTAAAAAAAATAGTATAAAGTGTAGATTATATTTTCAAGTTGTGTTTTCCGTGTTACATCAAATAATGAAATCGCAATCCCTTTTATAGGAACAAATTTTAACCCCCACATTCATGTAAAATTAATTAATTCGTATATTTTACAATATAAATTAACATTTTTAATTAAACCAAAACTGAAAATTAAAATGTAATAATTTTGAAAGTTGAAACTTAATATAATTTCCATCACAAGTTTTAAACTTTCAATAAATAGTGTTATTACAAGTCACGAAGTTCGTATTGTTTCTACCATATTAAACATTCTGCATGAGATACTCCAATCACAAATGTTGGATTACACCCAGAGGTGGGTCCCTTATGGGCTTAAGGCCATTACGCCTGATGATTTATGTATGTCCATCTCGGACTACAATTTATTTGTCCCTCGTGAACAATTACCATCAATATTTGCAAGTTCTTATTCTTCACCTGCACTTCTACACACCTACAAAATTTTCTAAACTTTCCAAAATGTCAATATTACATATTTCATTAAAATAAGATAAACATAAGAAATTTCTAATATTGTTTTTTAGTAAGACATTTGAGCACATGCATCCACTGAACTCTTGCATTTCAGTTGCAAGTCCACAATTTTACTTTCGACACTCTTCAAAAATCAATTTTACACAAAGAATAATAAATATGATGTGTATCTTATATGAAATTTTTAACACCCTCACATTTCAAAGATATAACGATTCATTATTAGACATTCTCAATCTCCATATATCAATATAACATTGATATTTGTAGTCGACTGAGTGATCAGCCATCCACGCATACCTTACACATTACATATGTGGACGACTATATTATATTGTTACTTATCATAATTGGAGTTTTGAAATTGATGTTAATGGTCATGTTATCACTCTTTTCGTTATAAAATAGTCCATTTATAGCACAATATATCACCACCACAATCTCAACATCATAGTACAATTGCACAGAAATGGGATTAAATAATGGAATGCCTCTCTCTCTCTCTCTATCTCATTAGAATTGGTGATTTGTGTGTAGATTATAAATCAACATAACAAATTAAAATAACAAAAACATTATAATTCAACAATAACTTAATTATAAGATATAAGTAGAGAGTTAGGAAAGCAAGTTTTAGGTAGTCACATCAATAACGATATCTTAAATTCGTGTTGTCTTCCCTTCGTGCGGGTTCTTTCGGCACTACATGGCTCCAAAATAAAACACATATAGTTCATAGTCGGTTCTCCTTCTATAGGCACAATCACAGGGAGATAAAGAACGAGTTTATATCGAATTGTCAAAATAAAAGAAATAGTATAAAGTGTAGATGTAGTATATTTATAAAATTGTGTTTTCCATGTTACATCAAAAAATGAAATCTTTTATAGGGACAAATTTTAACCCCCACATTCATGTAAAAATAATTAATTCATAACTTCCATTCAAATATTTAAGTATATGTGACATTATAAAATTAACATTTTAGTTAAACCAAAATTGAAAATTCAAATGTAATAATTTTGAAAGTTGAAAATATAATTTCCAACAGTTTCTTCAGGTTGAAACGTGGGGAGTTTTTGTCGCTTCTTATTGGACATGTAAACGGAAGGGAAAAAAATCATCCCCCATGGTGATAATACATGAGGACATAAGGTGATCCTTTGTTGGAAATTCTGCCTCTTTGATATGGGCGGCAATTGAATTTGGATCAACCCTTGATCCAGAGGAAAGACTGGCGGCTCTGCACGTTCAAGCCCGCTGAGTGCTTGAGTCAATCGATCTTTAGTGGGATAGTACTTTTGGTATTGTAATTCTCATTAGCAATTTGCAGAAGTCGTCTGCCGTGCCGAGTGAATCTCGGGGTAGAAATCTGTCTCATGTTTTGCCGTGTTTGAAAATTACTTCTGCCAAGACTGACTTGGAAATCACGTTTGACAAAAGAAGTAAAAGCACAGTGAGACATGCTTGCACAGGTATATGGCACGAGATTTCTCATTATTTCCGTTTGTCATCTAGATAGAGAGACTGCTATGTTTTGTTTTGTACAGAACTCAATGTCAAATTTGTTCCTATCTCATCTTGGTAAATATCCAAAATGGGCACCCTTTAAGCTTCTAAATCGAGTTGGTTTGTGTACAAATTTTTTCAGCTCAGCTAGTTGTGGCAGTCGAGCACCCTTTAAGCTTCTAAATCGAGTTGGTTTGTGTAGAAATTTTTTCAGCTCAGTTAGTTGTGGCAGTCGAGCCGAGCGGCTCGTCGGCTCGTACTGTAAGTCGTCAAAAAACGAGCCCAAGCACGAGCCGAGCAGGCCGGCTCGGTAGGCAT